TCAATAGAAAACAAACATTAGTTTCATTACAAAGATATTAAGAAACAATCAACAACAATAACCATAAGTTTCTGAATGAAATACTGTAAACAAATTAACGAATCAAACTATATTAATTAATTGTAACACTTGTGATTGATTCTTATAGTTAACAACATCTTCACAAGCGTACATTTCTTTGTGAAATTTAAATAAATTTTTCGAAAACATTTTTTAAAAATTGCTGTTAGTTTCCTAACAACAGCTTAATCGTTCTCCGGTATTTCCATCGTCCCTTTAATTAACACCAGAATGTTAGAGATGGAATAAATAATGTAATTTAAAAATAAAAATGCTTAGGTGTTTTGGAAATTATTATTTCGCATAATCTTCTTGTAATTTACAAAAAGTACTTAATTTATAGATAGGAGGAACGCGTAAATTGCTGCGTTAATTATATTTAAATACACTGCCTCAATTAAGACTAATAACGTTTTTAACGATTTGCATTACGAGGTAGCTCATGTTTCTTAGTTCGTATCCAAACGTTTCGTGATGTGGTTTAGTTTATTCCTTCGTTGCTTTTGTTTATTGCCTAAATCGAAGAAGGCTCTAACTTACTTAAGTAACAACGATGGCTATAATTTCGATAGTGGATGATAGAAAGCGTGGATTACTAAGATCTGTTTTAAGTAAAGTTGAATAGAGTTATTACAGTTTAATTTTTTCATTTTGTTGTACTGAATCGAATTGGTCATGAATAAGATTTGTTTCTTATTGTTGTTGTCAAGTTTTTTTTTATCAAGAGCGTAGGAAAAGTTGTTTTTGTTGTTGTGAAGTGTGCTATGAATTTCTATTTTTATTGTGAATAGTGCAAAATGAAACTTTTTACGAAGTCGTTTGTTGTGCAAACAATTAAGTTTCTCGAGTAGATAAAATCCGGAGTGTTTGTTTCACTTCTGGCCGCAATTACCAAAGTTTCCAAGAAATTTCTTGCGAAAATATATTGGGCCGAAGTTATTTGAATTACAGATAAAAGATAAAATACAGCTAATTGCACAACTGTTTGCATAATCCCTCTAATGATATTTTGATTTTTGCAAAAGCAATTAGGCGAACTTTAGGCAAATATTCGATTAATTGCGCTGACCCAAACACTTGAAAGATGCCTGAAGATAACGACAAATCAGCTATTAATTGACTTCCCAATACGTAAGAAATTGGTAAATGTTATGGTAAATTTGAAAACGCAAATATTGTTGTTTACGTGTAGTTACAAAGTAATGCTTATTGGAAGGGAGGAAACGTATTTAAAGAGATTTTGGTCTGTGCAATAATGCTATCATCCGAAGACGTCGAGCAAAGGAAGATGATCAAGGAAGAACCCCAGAGTCCGGCGAAGGAAGTTCCCAAAAAAGGTATTTAGATTTGTTGCGAATCTCAACTGTTGTGTTACATGTTTTCGTTTGTTCATAGTTAAGAAATACAAAAGGGTACGCACTTCGTACACGGCGCATCAACTCTTGAAGCTGGAGAACGAGTTCGACGCGAACAGAATCATCGGCAAGAACAGGCGCAGCGAGATGGCGCGCGATCTGAACATCACGGAGAGACAAATCAAAATTTGGTTTCAGAACAGACGGATGAAGAAGAAGAAACGCGACAAACTGAAGCTCGAGGAACAGTTGAAAATACAGTTTTCACCTATCACCTCCACCAACGACACGCCGTCTCTAGATTTGAATTATCTTTCGCAGCATATGAATGTTGCTGCTGCTGCTGCAACCACGTCTTCCTTGTATTATCAGCAGCCGCCGCAGTTGCCGCACATTCCTCCAATGCAAATCTGCCAACCGCAGCAGTTTCCAAACATTACCTTTCCCTATAACAACGATTACTATGGCAACAATACCTATGGTTACGTGCCCAACTTCCAGGGTGGCGACGACATGGGCAAATACGTCAGGGACTTCGACGTGGCGTATCTGAATCCGTACGGTCTCGAATCCAGTTTCGTCGTTTCCAATTTCCAATTTTAAATC